AATGCAACAATATCGGCACGGTGAAATTAATACTATAGATGTTGTATGAAGGAGTAAGAATAAGCTTAATGCTTCAATTGGTAGAGAACACTGTGCGTTAAATGCGACAGTGGTTAACATTATATCCTTCTTTGATAAGCCTACGCGAGGCTGATATACTATCTTTACTACTAAGTGAGATGAAGACTTAGTAAACTAGCACTAATTAAGAATATAGTAAGACTAATAAAGATAGTATATTGAGCTCGCGTAAGCTAATCGAAGAAAAAATACGTACTGATTAGTCATACCGAGGTTAAAAAAAGTCGGTTTTGAAACCTGGTTAACATTATTTATGTGAGTAGAGCTCAATAACTAAATTCTAATGCAAAAACTAAAGCAGCAACAATGAAATGAGGACTGCAAGACAAATCTATGGTGGAGTACGCGGACTTTAGGCGATGCTTCAGTGTTTCCACCCAGTTCTGCTCGGCAAAGCTTATTTGTCGTGCATGTACTGTTCTCCACTAGGTATAAACAGTTTTTTTTGGATCTATATTTCTTCCTTTTCATTTGAGCACAACTTATAGAAGCCAAACATGCGCTTTCTAACTTCATTTTCACGTCACGTGCAGCGGACATTTACTCTGCCAAATTAAAAAAGGCTGGTTCGATAACTTAGGAACAATCAGTGATCAAGGCCGGCAATGCCTGAAACAGCAACAAGCGGAGTAGTCCTTTAACTGTTTCGCTTTTATGGACCAGGCTAACTGCACATTAAAGCTACACATAATTTTGATAAAATTTAAAAAATTGTTTCAATAAAATTAAAAAATCATCTCTAAATCTCTACAATCCATTAAAAATCGTTTCGAATCGGGCTGTATGCTCTGGAATCTCGGAAAAGCAATGATTCAGGTGACACCATAATCTTCGAAGAGAACAAGACTGTCACATTTCTCGACGAAAGTATACAGGTAGGAAGATTTTTCCTTAATAATTTCGAAGTTATGAACACTTCGTCGGTTGAAAAGTTGAAAATTTGCTTCCCTTTCAGCTTCCGAAATGTGCTCACTTAGAAGATTAAACTTAATTGACTGCAGACACGCTTACAAGTGATAACGAAGTGCTTTTTTGCCTTCTCATATTGCGGAAGGTATTTTAGTATGTCCTTGCTTAAAGAGTGGCCTGTAAATGTTGGGTGGTTTTTCCTTGTGAATTTTATCGTGAACCCGTTAACGGAAGAGACCTCGTTTTCCCTGTAGCACGAAAAGTAGTGGAAAACTATAATTAACTAATCTAAGTCTCATTTGAAAACTCAGAGAGGTGTGGGGAATGTATAGTGGTGGTGATGCCAATCATCAGAAGCGCGGTGCTGCTTCGATCCAGCGCTGTACTCACCAAGCCAGTCATCTCTCCGAGGTCGGGAAATTGGTACCGGACTTGTCCAGGAAAACATCACTCTCTGAAATCCAATTGGGAACGCGTCAGCCTGATCATCTGCTATCCCAGGACTCCAAGGAGAAGCGACTCGACAAGCATTCTACTACATTAAGGATGAAATGAAAATCCTCAAGCAAGCCAAACTTAAAACGTTGGAAGAAGAGTTTCGTGGATGACGGGTGCGACCAAACTAGTCGAATGCGAGAAGTGCTGGGCTCCGCACAGTAGATGTGAAGACGTGTCGTATAAGATGAAATTGAAAAAATGTGACTAGAAGGCAAGTTTTATCATGAAGCAGCATGAGTTTTAATCAAGGCCTTTTTTCCTCATTAACAGTGTCACATAGTTGTGAATGTTCTTTTCTGTTGGTGCAACATGGTCAGGTATCTCGGCAGATCAAGTCGAACAATAATTCTTGAATATTTAATAGTTTGACCGAAAACAGGAGATGTTGTATAAGAAAAGCGTTCGAGAAGAGGTAGACATTCCTTGCTATAAAAAAACATTGCTATTTTAGCAAAACTAAGCTAGCGAAAGCAGTGTTCTCACGCTTTTTACTGAAGCCCTCAACTACTGAACAATTTGACTTTACAGGTGACGTCGATCATTCTGCCTCAAGTGGGCAACCTCATCTTCTCGGACGACTCGGTTCTTGGCGAGAAAAGTCGTTGGCAGTGCACTCGACGAAAAAGTCCCGAGAGTTAGTGACGCATATATTTAGCGGTTTTTTACAATTCATTTGGCTTGTAACCTTTTTAACCTTTTTGAAGCAATTTATTGATTGGTGATGTCATTTGTTGGCCTCTCATTCTGTTTACTACTCCTTTCAATCTATCCTTTCGTCCATGACGCTTGTGGAGCCGGCTTCAGTGCTTTAGCATAGAAATGCCATTAAAAATGTAATTTTGCGCGCTTCGCTCAGATTTACCTGGTAATTTTGACCTTGTGTAATCTCAATAAAGTAAACACATGTTGGTCATCCAGTAATATTTCAGAGGTGTTCTTTCAATCCACCTCCGTATTTGCTGCATTCAGGTAGGTTTTGATGCCGAAATATAAAGCTATTACTTTTACTACAAATTATATCACATTACTCATCATGGTCACTTTAAGTGATCCAGCAAGTTGGCTACTCGACGAGCGCCCTCTGTTGCACATGAACCAAGTGCCTGGTGCGAAAGTGAGTTTTACTGGTCGATGTGTTCATTCAATTGTTATAGTTCGATTGCAACTATAGCGTACTGAACATACGGAAAACGACATGGAAGGCTATGAGGCGCACCTCACAGCTGTATTAAAGGAAGTCCTTGGTTTCGACACAAACATTTTCAAATCCTTTTTCTAACAGCAGGCGTTAGTCTTAACCCTTTCATTTACTGCTTTTTTCTTCTTAATGGCAAAGTATGTTGCGAAATATAACTCGTATATAATGCTAAGATATTTGAAAAACTCCGGAGCGCAAGTGTATGCAGTGGGGAACGAACGCGCGCTGTTGTCCATACCGGGGAGCAGCCCACTTCACCACTACACCATCCGGGTCCTTCGTCTTGCCTGTCTCTCAGCTAGTTCTATCGATCTTTTTTGCCATCAGCAATCTACAAAGAGACAGGTAAGACGAAGGACCTGGATGGTGTAGTGGTGAAGTGGGCTGCTCCCCGGTAAGGACAACAGCGCGTGTTCGTTTCCAATTGCATACACCTGCAGTCCGGAGTTTTGCAAATATCTCAGCGTTTCATACGAGCAGGCGTTAGTTTTAAAAACAAGAAATTACTTTATCTTAGAGAAATAACCTTCTGCCAAATAAACACACCACATTCCTCAGTAAAGATAGCAAGGTTTTTCCTAGGAAAGAGCAGTAAGTAGCTTTAAAGCGGGATATCATGCTGGCCGTTGCTCAGCGTTTGTTCAGGAGTTCTATTTTATTAAGCTCATCACTATTTGCAAAAAGATACTTCTTCGAAACATGAAAGTTACGCGTTAAAGTAAAAAGATAAAGCGTTTGGCGTCGTTCCTCACTGATTTCACATATTCCACGTTTTTGAAATTGTCAACCATCGTAGACGTAATTGAATAAACACCTGGTCTGCACAGAGATCAGAGACCTGAGATCACTTATCATTGTATCAGGATGTGTTATCTATCCTCCTAGAAAACTTTGTTTACCAATTTGCAGACCTTGGAGGATTGGAAGATTTAGTGGCCTGGTGTGCGGATAGAATGAACTACCGATCCAGCGTGTCCTGCCGAACGCCTCTAGTAATTGCACTAAACACGTCAAAAATTACAGTTAAAAGGGTAAAATAAAGGATGAAGCTCCCCGCGTTGATCAATCTCTGAGGAATGTTTCATACATTCGACTTCATTAAGCATCGTTTGAAGGTGATTGAATTCGAGCCAGTGCTGCTATCCTCCCAGACAAGACTGTTACCAATTTTCCGACCCCGGAGCGATGGAGAGCTTGGTGGGCAATTGGCGTGGGGATCGATTCCACGTGTGTGTTGCAGGGCGCACTGCACCACACGCACTCAGTTAAAATTACACTTAATTCGCAGTAATTTCCTAATGTTCAGTGCTAATAGCAAATTTTTTGAAAAACTTGTGGTAACCTTAGGTCGGTCACTCCAGGAATAAGACCACATCTCAAATATATGAATAGAAGTTCTCTAACATACTGCTTAGGACGATGTCATGTTCCGCGACATGGGAGCGTTCCAAATTTTCATCGAAGATCAGGTTACGGTAAACACTTTGCGGCTTTCGCGGGATTGGGTGAGTATAGATTTCCTTTCTTATTATGGCGTTACTCGATAACTTGCATGATGAGTAGGAGTTCGTGATTTCTTCGCTTATTCGATTACATTTAATTCTATAAGATTTTTATAACCTACAAGGTGACTCTTTCGAATAAGTAGAAGAGTTCTCAGTAATGAGTAAAACTGCTAAAGCAATAAGTACGACGATGTTTATTCGGACGATTGCCGTTGTCGTTCGAATTCGGTAATCGCCCTTGGAACAGAACGCGACTTTGTATTGTTCAGTAATTTACTTTTCAACGACAGCAGTAATAGTCTCCTAACAAATACGCAAATGAAATAAAAACAGCAAATACATATAAATGGGTTGACAGAGTGTATGAAGGCGCATCAAGTACCCGAATAAAAGAATGGCGAATTAGAGTGACGTTTTCTCTCGAAGCTCTAGTAAAATCCAAGCTGAAGCACTTAAGCACGCTATCGGAAAAGAGGACAACCCGCTTGCTCGTCAACATGGGGCCGTGAGCATCGCATACGCAATACTCACAATGATTGAGGGAAACACCAGCTTAAAATAGATTATTGTTATTTGGACTTATAATCCAGATCTTAACGGTTTGTTAGTATTTACAACGGCAGGCTTAATATTGGACTGGGTGAAAGGATTTAGTTCTTTTAGTTCTTACTTCCTATGTAGTTAAAATAGTGCAATAATAATGTTCAAGGCTGATATAATCAACATATACACAGATGATTACAGCGTAATAATTCACAGTTTTGTACAGAAGCTAGTATCTGATCACTGGCGAATTTGGTAGGCTCAGGTCATGAAACGCTGGCTAGAGTGTCGCCCATAGCCCATGTGCCCATTTTCATTTCACGAATAATGAACGAAGTAAAAACATTCCACGCATCCAAAGCGGCCTCTCGTTCCTGAATGAGACCCAATTAGCAAGGAGAACATCTTCTCCTTCTTCGGATGAATGAGTGACTCCGGTCTTTTGGAAAAACACTCAGTTAATTGCAACTCAACACAATATTCAACACACTTCTACTTAGATTATTTAAATTTGGACTTGAACTTGAACTTGAATTATTTAAATTTACTTCTAAAAAATCTTGTAACACTCTCCAGATAATGGAAATTTCAAAGTTGGGTTGGAAAATTCTGATACGGAAGATAGGAAAAGTAGAGATTAAAGATAGTCCTAGTGTGAATTTCTTCTGATCTCTTAAGAGTTAGTGGGAACATGGCATACTGGCTATAGCTGTTATGGTTGCAAATTTTTCCATTCGTGTCGAAAAGAAGATTTCATTCATTTTCTCCTCCAATGATCGATTTCGTATTGATAGTTCATTAATTTGACAGTGCATCATCGTTTCCACTAGATTTCTAAACGCTTTTCCTGAAGTTTTGTCCCGTTTTCTTCATAACTAACAGAAAAGGACGCCATTAAATGAATCTGTTCACCTATCGAGTACCTTACGGCCAAATAAACGATTAACTATGGGCAAGAATGGTAACGGCGGTTGAAAAGACCTACCCATCAATTGTGCTCTTAAATCTTGTGATATTTTGATTTCAAAAAAATTGGAGTACCTCCTCGGTATCAGCTTATGGCACCACCTATCATATTTAGTGAAAGTGATACTTCCTTTGCTTTCAAGTCAAAAGGATTAATATTAGAAGAATGGTAAAAAAAGTAAATAAGTCTGATTTTGTAAAGTACAGCGTCATTCGAGCGGGAAATTCAGCCTAGCAGAAACTATGCAACGTCGCTTCTCCTAGTGTTCGGCTTGTACTAAGGACTCACATCACTGTTCCTGAATTCACACTCCGAAATGATGCCGATGATGCTGGACTTGAACTCCCTCCACACGATGGATGGAAACTGTAGGCCCTGCTGGAAGTGAACAGCGCCGACCCGTCGTATTCGCATCACGACGTACTGTAATTCTCTAGTAATACTAAAGAGCGGGAAGTACACCATATTTTGTTTGTTTCAAAGTCAATCCTCATTCTTTTCATAGAAATAAGAAAGAAGATGGTTTTTTAATAGTTTTTTATGAGATAATCCCATATTTATTCAATCAAGATTTAACAGCTTCTCATCAATAATAAAGCTTTATCGGTGAGGAACGAAGGAAGAAAGTCGTCGTCAGTTGAAATGTCACAAGATTTGTCTTAGTACGCCACTTATCTTGAATGCATCCATGGTGGTAGGTCAATAGTTCCTCATTATAGGTTCACAGAATCTTAAGTTCATCAGTATAGAAAGATAAGCGCGAAAAATTCATCTACAGCGAACAAAAAGAGAGAGAGAGAGGAAGTGTGTGTGTGTGTGAGAGAGAGAGAGAGAGAGTCGAAAAGGCTAGTAATTAAACCAGATTTCAGTCTTGCTCTTCATTGTCCTATCTTTTACGGTTCTTCTAGGTTAAACACATGTGAATGTAATTTGTGGACTACAAGTCAAGCTCTCCGTTCTTACTTGGATACTTGTACGGCCTATTCTCACTGGTTGTGCGGGCCCCAGCATAGTCTGTACTTTTCGAAATTTTGCTAGTTTATCCATGATCTTTCCCTATAGACCCGAGGTCGGCCTTGCCAAAGTCTGCCTCAGATCGTCACCACGATAGACAGTCGCGGCCCTTGTGGATCAAAGGGTGACTTGCCACCATACGAGTTTGATGCCAGGACGGTGGTGAATTCTGATAATGGTTTACCTTCGACTAGGTTTCACCACACCTCAACTTGGTTGTATATAGCAAAGAGAATCAAATTTGAGACGTTGTTATTTCAATGTCACATCTACATAACGTTTTTTAAGGACTTAAATACGAAGTTGGCCTACAGAAGGTACTTCGGCCGTCAAAGAATAGTATATGAACTAAATAGTTCACTTATAGTCAACAACTTTCTCCCTTATTTTTTCTACTTGCGTTACGAAAGTGCTTAGCCGAGTAAATCGCGTGTCAATTTGTCCTTTGCAGGCTATGAAAAAGACGAAACTGCAAAACGTCAGCAAGTTTTGAATAAATCTCGTCATTAACAGCCTTGTGTGTGCTCAAGAATAAAACACTGACTTATTAAAACTCTTAGAAATTAAGCTTGGTGGAGTCAAACTAAGATTGGACAGATTATAATAGAATGCTTAACTCCATTTTGTTTCATCACCCGACGAATTCTCTACAGGCAACTACTTGGTTAGACGTGTTACGTACTGCTATCTATTATAGAGAGGCTGATCCCGTTATAGCCCATTTTACTGTCGTGAAATGTACTTTTGACATTGTAGAAAACTGCACCTCATCTGGTTTTCCGTCCTTTATTATTTGTAGTAGTTCTCCTATGAATGCCGTGATCCTCTCAGCCACTTCCATAAACCTGCGAATATAAAGTGCACTATAGTAAAAGGTTGAGGGAGGGGGTTAAGTTTTCTTTATAAATTAAAGGACGAATCCTTATAGCTCAGCGAAAATCCCAAGCACGTATAATAAATGCGATTATTACTCTGAATATAACAGTTTATTAACATCTTTCCAATATATATATATATATATATATATATATATATATTGAAGTCTAATTAAGGGCAACTTTTCTCGAATCAGGGATAAAATAAGCCTGCCGTCATTTTGGTGGGCCACATGTCTACTCACTTTGTAAGATTTTTAACAAGTGTATATGTTACGAAAACGAAAAAAGTTAAATTGTCCATCATACTAGAGCACAATACCGACTAACGACATTACTGATTCTTCTCCTTGTTTTTGTTTTTGAGGAGACATCCGTCGAAATGCATTTAACATTGCTTAACCTTGTAGACCCCAAATGAACACACTTCATGTCCAATTTTAAGTATATTTGTTAAAATAGACAACATTCTAACTTTTTTAAATTTCTTCTGTGACGATCACCACATTTTTCATTGTAGTAAAACTGCACTTTAGAGGTAAAGGACTTCATGGCTCTCACAACTTACTTGATATTGGTAATAACGTTAACATTCCATGTGTTGCCATTAGCAAACAAAGCGAACGCTTCTGCTTCTGTCTGTAAAAGAAAACTACTGAACTTCTGCTTCGAGAAAACAAAACTTGAAAAAAGTTAGGGAAAAACGTTGTCTTCAACAGAAGTACAATTGTCGCATGAGACGTCACCTTAAAAGCAGCATATTCGGGATTCCTCTTGCAAGCCAACGATTAACTTAGGACTTAGTCCATCAACGCTTTCATTTCGTACCAACTGCTGCTATTAAGCAATTATTTGTAAAAGACGTGTTGACGGAATGGAATAGAACAGAATAGAATCCCTACGGGATCTTGTACGACTACCCATGTGGTGGTGGAAGCTACTTGAACTGGTTTATCCGGAAAGGATTATGGAATGCGTTTTTAACTCCAGTGAAAGTGCCGAAGGGAAGAGCTTCCGCTCCACATCACATCGCATCCGGTGCAGCCCTGTCTAAGAAAGGGAGAAAGCACATTGGGCGACGTTAAATTGAACGACTGGCTCATTTCTAAAAAACTAAAACGATATGGGCTGGAAAGCCAGTTGGAGCATACTGTGAACTCTTGTGGTAGTAAAGTATCGAAATGAACTATTGATTTTTTCGATCAGCTACTTTAAATTAAGTGAAAATTAGACATCATTCTTTGAATGTTTCTTTAATGGTGCATACTTCAGTGGATACTGAAGGCATTGAACACGAGAATGCAATATTAGAGAATTCGTTGAAGCTTGTGGATAGCTTAGAACAAGCTATGCCGTAGAATACACTGCTTTTGATGGACTTGCCAATTAAGTAAAAAAAAATATACGAGCGACAGCGGTGAAAATAAAAAAGATTTTTCTCAGCTTGCCCCATACTGTCAGAAAAAGTCACCTTCTCATTGGCGTAGAGCACCAGGCTCGACGTTCTGAACACAGCAAACAGAGTCGGTTGGCGACGAAGAATCGAGTACAGTATCCGAACTCCGGGATTGCCGTTGTTCAACGCCACAGCTTGTTGCCACGATGAGGACAGGATGTTCAAACGATCACCCAGAACTTGCCTGAATGACGCTAACATTCTGGGAAAAATGACATAAATCGCGTAGAATCATTTATCCCACGAGCAACCAGACAAATTTTATACCCAGTGAAATTTTTTGAACAATGCATTTTCCCTAATATTGTTTCACTTATCAATTGATATTTTTTCAAAATTAACAAAACAACGAGGTTATTCTTAAAAATGACTGACTAAAATTCATTCCATTGGTTGAGCAACTAGACTACATTTTTCAAAAAAGTGAAATCAGCTCCCCTGAACGAATTTCGAAAACACGAAACAGTATAATTCACCTCTTTCAAATTTTCTGTAGCCGTTTCCTCACGAAATTCTCGCATAAAATGTTCCCATGTAAAATCATCCTTCTCAATCTACTTTTTGCTAATAAACGAATTCCTAGTCACAGTAATAATGACAAAGTATAAAGCGCTCGGCACTGGTCGTCACCTCCCGAGGGATACGTCATGACATCCAACTTCATTAGGCATCTCATAAGTTGCCGAATGCATATTTTGCCTATATACGCACTTGAGAGGCACGTGTAACGCAGAGGACAACGGTGCCTTACAATAAACATGGGTCAGATCAACAAGGCTCACAAATCCCTCCATCCCACCCGGAGTCGGCACATTGGTAGCAGACTTGTTTGGGAGTATAGCAGCACTGGCTCGATACATCGGTTGGCCACCGCGTGTTATAGTATATAGACCAGAAACGCATTCAGTCACAACTAGCGATGCTTAATGAAGTCAAATGCATGGCGCATCCCTTAAGGAATGATCAAAGCGAGAGCTTTTATTTATTCGGAATTACGAGATCATATTAGGTTATTTCAAAATTAATATTGGATTTCTTCGTGTATTTTTAAAGTAGCATATCTCAGCTTAAAATCTGAGCAAACATTAGTTCGACACATTCTTTACAAGAAAAGCAGGTTTTGCAGGTAATTGCATCTAGTGTTTAAAATTTTGGGCGTCTGGAGGCGATGAAGTCGTTGCAAGCGGTTTCGGCTTCGGCTTGATTTTTGTAGCATTTCTCACACACAAACCTCTCAGTATGCATAAGGAAGTGATGGTCAGCAAGCCAGTCTGATGAGTATGATGGATGAGACAATGTTTCGTAGCCCAGCACGCATAGCCATTGTGGTGTCGTTTGTCGGACACGTCGCAGCGTTTTCATAGAGGATCCACTCCTCATCGTACATCACAATATGTTCGGAAAAGACGTCGTTGTGATCGCGCAGAAGCGCCGACTATACCTGAGTGTGGCAATTTTCTTGATTGCCATTCAATTCGAGTCGCACCCATATCTCGACGTTCTTCAACTTTCCAGTAATTTTCGGATGCTCGAAACAGTTGAAAGGATTACATCGAGTTGTTCTGATAGTCCTCCAAGTTTCCGAGCAACTTTTCGTGTGCTAGTTCACAGTGAAGCTTCGATTTCTTCGTCGTCAATAACAGAAGCACGTCCGCAACTTTTTTAAACCACCCTAATATTTGTAACCAGTTCCTCTGTGTACGTTAGGTCTGAGTCTGAAGTTATAGAACTGAACTTGTCGAAGCTGGTCCTTTGACATTTCAGTTACTCAACCGTAAAATTTCTCGAAAATACAGTTTATATTATACTTCAACCATACGGAGCGAAGGTTCCTAGAATGATTTTTGCAGTGACGCATAATAGTACAGAATGCGACAAAAAGAACTTTTGTTTAAACGCATGTAAAAAATGGAATTGTAAATCCGGCGCTTAGTTTTGAACAACCTAATATATAGGTAAGCTATGATAGGAGAACATAACATAGAACTTGTTGAGAAGGTTTAGGTAATCTTCGCTGAAAATCCAAGAGTTCAAAAGGGCGATATCTCTACACTTATACTCAATTATCTATAGTTTCGAAATACTTTCGGCTAAGCCTAAGGAATTCGGTCTGCGATGGAGTGGGGAGAAACAGACGTAGTTGCATTATAAGGCGAAATCTGCGGAACGAGAATTATTACAATTTACGGTAATTTAGTAAAAGGAAACTCAAAAAACTGTTTGAGTTATCAAGTGCACTTATCGTAATCATATGAACCGATCCCCGCGCCCGTGGCTCACCAAGCGTTCCGTCCCTCTGGGGTCAGCAAATTGGTATCGGACTTGCTTGGATAGGACAGCAGCACTGGCTCGATGCATCGGTTGGCCACCACGAGTTATTGTAAAGGCCAAATATGAATTCAAGCACCTCCAACGATGCTTAACGAAGTCGAATGCATGGCGCTTCTCTCAGAGATTGATCACCGCCGACAGCTTTATCCATTTATGCTTTATTAATCATGAAACTAAGATTCAAAAGTACTATTTGAAAAGGGGAACATCAAGATACTGATTTTTATTCTACCTCATTCTGGGAAATCAAAGTGATACGAATTCGGTGATATCGAGAGCAAATTAAATAGAGAAATAAGTAGTCGTTCTGCATAAAAATCCATAATCATCCGTCACATGCTTGAGTAACAGTGCAGTCTTTTTTGGACAATGCAGCGTAAAAAAAGGTAAAACACAAATTCTTCCAGAAATGTACGTATGGGTCTCCATTTGAAGAGATTTAAGCGAATTCTTCTTGAAAACCCACTCACCCTGCATCGCAGACCGTTTTCTTACGCGTCATCGTCTTCTTCTGTAAAAATCGTTTATTCATCCACGAACTCGCTTTCAAAAACACTAGGCTGTTCGTGGCCGAATTCAGAAGGACAAGGAAATTTGATACGTCAACGAGATAGTAGTTGTGGACACCTACAGTGACTTCGACCAGGTCGAGCTGAAACTTGCAGACTTAAAGTGCACTGAAAGGTATTAAATGGAGAAAAAAGCCACTTGAAGTCACATACCACGAAAGTCAGACTTCTAAAACATAGGAACTTCGAGACCAACATGATAGAGATCAGGGTTTGCAGAATTTCCCTTCAAAGGTAAACAATTCTATGAAAGAGTAACAGATAAATAAGGAGGAAGTTCTGATCGAAAAGATGCACAATGATCAGCTTTTTCGCTCACCTCGAAGCGTTTCGATCGAGGAAATTTTCACTCATTTGGAACAGCTTTCTCCTAGTGCGATTCGAACCTCGTAACATAAAGACAGTGAGTAGGGTTAGAACTGAAGTAAGCTGCTGATAGAATGTGATTGTGTGAGAGAAAGGATACCATTTAGCTGGTATGCTCACTCAGAATCCCAAGATTTGGGCCAATCGAGACCACAATCATCCGTGAGATCAAACGGTACAACGCGTATGCGCTCTGCAGTCGCAACGCTGTCGGTCGTACCTTAAGTGAAGGCTTCAGAAACGAGAAGTTAAGCTTTTTTCTCAGTCAATGATATCGATGACGGAATATCATCATGAATCGCCGCGTGAGAACGATTGCGGCGTTTCCATTTGCACATTCACCAACCGATATCGCTATCCGATTCTCTTCTTGTTTGTAGCACAGGTAATTGTAGAGTTCGAAAAATGCTGGAACATTCAGCAATATGGCTCCAATAGAAAGTGCAATAGGCATGCGAAGTAGACGACGATAGGTTGAGCAGTACATGAACGAGACTTGGCGCTCGCTTCTGAACGACCGGACCAGTGCTTTTGACCTGGAATGCATGGGAAGTGACTTTAATATAAAACGTTATGTAAAACAACACACAAAACACACACCAGAAACAAAACAAAATAAACAGTTTTTTCCCTATGTTTTCTCTTCACGTTAAAGATACCAGCCTTCAATCTTAATTCTATTCGTTTGGAAATGTTGATCAAGAAAACCAGTGACGGGCCACAACAGGGTTCTGCCAAGCTTATCGCACGAATTTCATGAGCTTTTTTTTTCCAACGGTCACCTTATTAGCAGCGCTTACAAGCCGAAGTCTCTTTAAAACAACAACCCATTCTGAATGATCATTAAGACTTCCAAAGAGTATTCAGTTCAGTCGGCTGCCAATTAGTGAGTGCTTTGCTGTAAAGTGAGAGACTACTCATCAGCAGTACATGAATATTTAGACTATGTCCTCAACTGTTGAGTTGTTCAGGGCAAATCCGTTCGCGAAGTACTTTCTAATTATTATATAATATTAATCGAATACTTCCACTCAACGGTTTGCCGCCTCAGCGTGGCTGGGAGGTGTTTCTGGGGGTTGGGCTGCGATGTACAGCGGGGGGATTCATCCCGCTGGTAGGATTTTTCAAGTTGAGAAGGAGTCCGGCGTATCCATCAGAAAGCCTAGCTAACGGTAAACTAACACCAGGATCCACCACCTTTCTGGTATCGAAGTCGCATGGTGGCAAACTACTTTGATCCACAAGGATCTGTGATTGCCTGTGGCGGTGAAGACCTTGGGCAAATTTTGGCCACGTTGACTTCGGAACTCCAAGAAACCATGATGGCTTAACCAGCAAATCTCCGTAAAGTGGAGATTGTGCTGGAGCCCACACAACCAGTGTGGACGGGCCGTTCAAGTATCATGTAAGTAAGTAATCAGGTACGTACAGAACGAGAAAAGTTTCGCCAATAACGATTGCTTTCTTCGAATCTACCATTGAAGACAAGTAGATAATCCTGGACAGTGTCCCTTTTTTAAGCTCTCATCTATTCATACACCTTATATATTTTATGGAAATAATCAAATTCATGGTGCTTTTCTTTCCATCCATACTTTTTGTAATCAAGAACGGTTGTGAAGGAAGGAAAAAGCAAACCTTGGGGTTCTAAATGGATCTCTCGTCGCCATAAATCGTTGCCACGTTATTGCAACAACACACCATGTCTAGAAAATTGAAGTACTTTGGTAAAAGCTAAGGAGGCTTGTTAGCTGACTATAAAGCGAGAAGGGGTCATTAAATACGGTGCAGGTTCTTCATGTTCACGATTTCCAAAAAAAGAGCCCCTTCTAAAGAAAGCTGTTCACAATTTCTTGTGTCAACTAGTTTATTTTTTCTAATCTTGTATCCACAGTATCACATCCTTTTGAATTGCTCAAAGTTTACATCGACCAGCCCGTGGTGACAACTAGTGTGTAAGTTGCACCTTTGAACTAATGAGTGATACGATATGACGAGAGTTTACAACTACAGAAAAATACAGAGCAATCGGCCGGTGTCGAATGACTAACCGCGGCTGTGTTTGCAATTTGCGAGAATGGATGGAACCACGGCATTAGGATGTTCAGCCAATCGGAATTGATGGCGATCGGAAGTTTCCGGATCGCGTAGTAGAAGAAGGCGCACCACAGAAGGATCGTATCCCAGATGGCTAGCGCGATCAACGACACCGCCAACACCACACCACGCTTCTGAAACTTGTGATGAAGACAGAAGCTGATCATGAAACCGCATGCGAAGCTGCAGAAGGTTCTTTAAAAGAAAAAAATGCGAAGCGACTTCAACAAATTTAGTGCCATTTCTATTGTGTGAAAATAGTTCAATAATTTCTGCTTGTCAGTTCAAGCTTGGTTTGATGGAATAAGTAATATTGCTTCCCAGAGGCTCCATCAATTATGTCAGCGAACCTATTTATTCACAGCTATCAGCTTACTTTGAAAGAGTTCGGCAATTTTTTTCATTGTGTACAGCAATGTGGTCCGCTTCTATGGATAGAAAGGATAAAAGATAAAGCTTTCGGCATTGATCAATCCCTGAGGGATGCGCCATGCATTCGACTTCATTAAGTATCGTTGGAGGTGATTGAATGCATATCTGGCCTTTACAATAACTCGCAGTGACCTACCCATGTATCGAACCAGTGCTGTTATCCTCCTAGGTGAGTTTGGTACCAATTTACCGACCCCGGAGAGATGGTAGGCTTGGTGAGCCATGGGTGCGGGAATCGATTTCCAGTGTGTTCGCGGTGGCGCCTCCAACCACTGCGCCAAACGCGCCTTTTCTATGGATAAAAGTAGTAAATTCTCATACAAACATAACACCGTGCAATGCGTTATTTGGAACCACACCTCCTTCTTTAATCATGTTATTTCTCTGAGATGACGCTTGAGGAAGCTGGTGAAGATGTTCCACTTTTAAATTCCTGAGCTTTAACAATTTGATGGGCTTTCTAAATAATGAGAATCTGAGAATGAATTTTGATTATATGGATTGTGTCGTTTTCTTGTTCAGCAGTCGCGAGGTTTTTAAACAGCATACATTTACTTCCATAGAGAAACACAATACAATACAACGCTAGCTGACGTTTCGGCAGTATCGCCTTCTTCAGAGCCAACTATTCTCTTCTAAAGAAGGCGATGCTGCCGAAACGTCAGCTAGCGTTGTATTGTATTGTGTTTCTCTATGGAAGTAAATGTATGCTGTTTAAAAACCTCGCGATTGCTGAACAAGTAAACGACACATTTATATTCCAATGCCGAGGTTAATAGAAAGTCGATCCTAGGAACTATATGGATTGTATCCCAGAAAGCGCTGAGCGTTGATCAATCTCTAAAGGATGTACCACAGATTCGATATTACCAAATATCGTTGAATTTTAACTTATTATTTGCTGCCTACTTTTGTAAATGGCAGGGTATGTTGCGAAATATAACTTCACTGATGCTGAGATATTTGCAAAACTCCGGACCGCGAGTGTCTGCGGTAGGGAGCGAGCGCACTATTGCCTTTTCCGGAAGCTAACGCGTTCACCACCACACCATGCAGGTTCTTCATTTCTCCTGTCTCTCAGCTAGTTCTATCGATCTTTTTGCAATCAGCAATCACCCGTCAACGGAATTGATCTGAGGAGTCCAAATCGGCAATGAACCCAGTCAAGCTGAGGCTGTAGTTATAATCACAATTTTAACTTATTATTTACTGCCTACTCTTTTAAATGACAGGATATGTTGCTCATGGTGTGGTGGTGAACTCACTAGCCCCCGGAAAACATATTAGCGCGTTCGTTTCCATTGCTGACCCTTGCAATCCGGAGTTTTGCAAATATCTCAGCATCATTGAAGTTATATATCGTAGAATTAATTGAACACCTATTTGGCCTTCATAGTGGTTTGCATGCCCATACGGATCGATTTGTCTAGCCAGCGTTTTACCCACTTAAGCAAGTCTGGCACTAATTTGCCGACCTCAGTGGAGTTGAAAGCTTGATGATAGCGGGGATCGAAATTGAAGCAGCGACCGATTCCATGTATATTGTAATAGATCCCTAGTCACTGCGCTAAATTCGCACGAGTAGCCGACAAAATATTGAAAATCGCCAGAAGAGTTTTTTTTAAGTAATAGTCGAGATCTGCAAGTGGACTCAGGCCCAGAGTTGTCGTTATTACGTCGAAGTGATTTACACCTTTCGTACACGCCTAATTATACACGCGTTTTTCTAACGTGGTTACGTATGGATCGACTGTCCTACTCACGACAATCCTGTCGAAAAGCTCCAAGGAATCGCTGACTAGAAAAGTACGAGTTCCAGGAAGCGAATTTCAGTGCTATTTACAAAAGCCAGAAACGGACGTGTGGTGACTACCTGAGAAGTTCTAGCGCAAATATCTAGGCTTTCCGAAGAAAGTCACTATGGATATTTTATTTAGGTGCCAACTGCATTGTTAATGGATGCAAAATGTGCTCGTCATTCGTGCTTCCATGCTCTTAGATAATGGCAGGAAATATTTTAAATTTGAATTAAAGCTTCATAAAGAGAAGGCGGTGTTTGCATTCAGCACAGAAACGTTGCACTGCGAACGTGTTAAGGAGAAGTAATATTTTGTTTGTAAGGACGTGAGAGACCTCCCATTATTACTGCCATTAGGCAACTCCTCCCATCGACGATTTCTCTTCTTCTCAAAGTGATGAATTGCTTCGGAAGAGATTGGCGTGGACAGGGGTCCAGAGAGCATATCCACTTTCATTTCGAAATTCTATTGCCAATCTATTGCTATCTTGTATTCAATCTCGGTGACCCTGTCTAATCTTGCATTAAAAGTCGTCGACATATGAGTTGGTAATACTGATTTCGCTCCGATGAGAAGGTTAGAGAAGTAGTACGGCTTTACGAGATAATACACCTTGCATATCCGCTCTTCACCTTCTGAGTTTCAAATCCAAAATGGCATCGAATTAAAACATCGGACTAATGAAAACCTACTTTGTAATGTTTTTCTGTAATTTTCTTCTCTTTATGACAAGATATTGCTGAACCGTGGTGCCAGAGAATATTTTTTGACGGGTGGGATAATTTTTCGCGCGTGAATTGTACATGTTTACTGGAAACAAATTAAAGCATTTGAAAAGATGGAAGATTCTTTGTTGCTTAACTATTAGAAAAATATTGCTTAATTTTGCATACCTTATCCAGATTGGTGATTAGGACTCGTCTTACTCCATGAACGTTCCCAATAGTGCCAAGAATTACGAGCGCTGTCGTGAAATAGCCGTTTACCATCGTTGAGAACAACCTAAATTTCTTAGATATGATTAGTTTTACTTCAGAAAATGAACTCCACGTGCATGAGTCCTCATTCTTTCACCGGTTACATTGCATTTGCTAGTTTCCTTTTTATAAGTAAACAGGTTTTCTTGCAGCTGATCCTCTTGGTCAGTTTTTCTCTTCCAGGCAAGACAACTGAATTTCCACTTAAAGAGGGGAAACTCAAATTCCATCACCTCCGCTATGAAATTTAATAAATCCAATCAAAAGTTTCCAAACACCAATCTTTTATAAGAAGCACTAAAAATTCCAACCGAAGAAAGATCGTGGTGCGATTGAATTTTCGGCAGTTTAGCAGCAAAGAATTCGATTTATATAGGAGACGCATCGTGACGGCAAGACGAGTTGGCAGCCAGGTGTTTCAAGTGTTGCATGGTACAAAGAGTAACTTGTAAATATGACTTGTGTGTGAGCTCTCATCTTTCTGTGTTTTGAATAGGTTTTTGCATGCTGCCTCCCAACGGTTTACCGCCTCATCGCGGGTGGGAGGTGTTCCTAGATGTCAGAGAGTGATGTACAGCAGGAGATTCACCCCCTGGCAAGGTCTTCCAAGTTGAGAAGGAGTCCAGCGTTTCCATCAAAAAGCCTATCTAAGAGTAAACCAATACCAGGAACCACCACCGCCCTGGTACCAAAGTGGCATGGTGACAAATCTCCCTCTGTTCCACAAGGGCTGCGACTGCCTGTGGTGGTGAAGATCTGAGGTAGACTTTGACCAGGCCTGACCTCGGGATTCCAGGGAACCACAATGGCTTAATCAGCAAATCTCCGAAAAATGGAGATTAAGCTGGAGTCTGCACAACTAGTGAGGACAGGCCGTTCAAGTATCAAGTAAGTAAGTTTTGCATGCTGACTTATGCAGACTATGTTGTGCTAGTTAACTGTGTGCAGCAAATGTGAGACGCTAGTAAAGAGAAAGTTTCATGATAACTTAGACAATGTTAATTTTTTATTTACTGCCTATTATAACTTTTTACGGAAGGATATAACGTTGACACAACTACAATGATTCTGAGATATTTGCAAAATTCTGGATCACAGGTTTCTACGGTAGGGAGCGAACGCACCATTACCCTTTCCTGGGGTTAACGCGTCCACCACCACACCATGCAGGTCCTTCGTTTCGCTTGTCTTCTTAGACAGTTCGAATTTACTACTAATCAAAAGTAGAAGCCAGAATCTTTTAAAATTCGAACGTCGCAGATTCTTCAGAGACATTTCGTTTTAATAAAAATGAGGTAAGAATAAGATAATAGCTTGTTCTTTAATAAAGTTGCGCTCAAACGTGCTGTGCGATCGCACACATATGGAATAAACATTTAGTTCCACGTTAACAATAATCCGCTTAATTCAACTTCTTGAACGTTCCCTACAATGAAAGTATAGTAAAATACTTCAAGCAACAAAATATGAGGAGAGACTGTATAGGGACTAAAAGCGACTACATTCATAAGCTGCACATCAAAGCCCAGGCATGCCAATCCGTTATTTATCGCCATGTGCCACTCAATTTTAACGAAACCTGCAAATTTGATTTGTGATTTATTCCTTCTCCGCAAAGGTTAAACTGTATTAAATTATTGCGTACTGTCCACGTCGTTACCTAGTTACATCCACCACATTTCTAATCATAGCGCTGCAAGCTAGCATTTCGTTAATGAACATGCAGGAGAGCGGAGCTCGCTATTGAAAAAGCAAGGTTTGCAAAATTTCATTGTTTTGACAAAAATTCATTACCTGTAGGGTTCAGCTTCAGGCTGTCGAAAACAGTTTTCGACGGTTTCGTTGAGCTGTATAGGACCCATTTTTTACATAGTCTCACGAATAAGTGACGACCACGAATGTCATGTCACTGTGCCTCAAAGATTTAGATATAACGCAAAGACAGATATAAAGTGGAAGGATCAAGTAGAGCAAAATATCAAAGATGAAGAAATGGACAGACGAAAAATGGTGAAATCACATCGCGACCGACCGTAAAGCTTCAAAGAGGACATATTTATCTGGAGAATCCATCAAGATAGAAATTTTCTTGTCTCTCACAGGCTTTTGATGATGAGACCTCGTTGTATTTCTCTTAAGCATAGGTTCATGGAAGTATTTTGCAAAAACTGACTGCAAGAGGAATCATACAGAAGTTAGTTAAACCCAACAAGACCAACGAACTAGCATTTTTGACTAGTTTCTCCACAAATAGAAGGAAATGTTTTTGGCCGTTCCATTCATTGAGAAGTAAACCGCATTGATAGCAGAAACTTCGAAATACCTAAATTCCAGCTATTTCTTACAATTAGATATAAATGAGCTTTTCCCAATGATTTACTGTATCACCGTTGCCGGGGTTGCTTCTGGGTTTCGAATTGCGATGTACCGCTGTGCTTCATCCTCTATCAACATTTACTGAGCTGGCGAAGGAGGCAGATAGTTGCATTTAGAAGTCCAGGAAAAAGCAAAACTATGGAACAGCAGAGTTCGGTGAGCTACTCATCCCTATCGCCTCCCTAAAAAGAGTGAAAAAAAGACACTTCAACAAGAGTGCGGTGCTCTTCTTATCTCTTAAACGTGGGAAATCCATTGAGCAGCTCCGGTTAGCAACGGCGACAAGTAGTCTATGTCTAGGCGCAAGCCAAAGCACAAAAGTTTAACGGTATTTGTTAGAGTTCTTAGATGAGATGAGCGATGTTGGGTGTAAATTAAGTAGGCGACACTTTAGAAAACCACTTTTCGTTTATCCTTGACTTGTATAATGAGTGTATTTTCTTCTATTCATATGCTAACAACAATTTGTTACAATAATTTACCCAGCTAACATTTGCGTCTCCGCCTTCTTTAGAGCCGCGTCGATCCGAGTGGACTGTCCACAGTCGTTCCTTCTTTCGATGTGGGTCTTTGTAGTCGCATTGAATCGAATCCTCTGAGATGGAACACCGCCCGAATAAAAAAAACTCTACCAAGCGAGAAAATCATTCGAGCGGTGCTCAGCGAGATTCATTCCACTTGATGCGACTGGGAAGCCCACAATAGCGAGGTCGAGCGGCTGTGGACAATGAACTCGGGTCGAAGAAACTGAAGAAAAATAAGAGGCTGAAATGTTGGCTATGTGAGTCTGGGAGGATGGTATCACTGACGTAATACGTCAGTAAGCTAACACAAATCACTGTATAGGCGAGATATGCATTCCACCACCTCTAGAGATGCTTGATGAAGTCGAACGCATGACGCATCCCTCACAGTTTGATCATCCTATCCTCAGCGCATCCCAAAGCTTTGTCCTTTAACCCTAACGAACATAGTCATAGCAGGATTTTCCAGAATTAATCGCATATTGTAACACCACGCCTTCATGAGGACCTCGAAGTACTTTATAAAGAAAGATGATTGAAAATCTAGGCATTCATGAATTTCAAAATACATAGGACTCTAAAACCCTGTGATTTCGGCTAAAAATCAGTGACATCACAGCGAGTTTTATCGCTAGAAAATCAGCACTGTACACAACACTGGTAATTTCTTGAAAGTCGTAGAATAGTATTTCATTTCGATGGGGCTGCCCGCATTGGACTCATTGATGGGATGCATGCGTTTGTCCTTCAGTGAGGAAAACGATCATTCGCAGTTATACTTCGATCCCCCTACTCAATCCTTTTTTTTTCTCTCTAGTTTGCTTAATTGGTCTATCTAATCGCGGTTTCTCTCTGCACTTCTGTTATTCTGAAGCCTGAAGGTTTCCCGATATTAACGTTCTGTCCGAATGCTAAGGAAAGCATAGATGTTTCAAAATTTCAGTGTCACAACATAGCGATGAAATGTGTCAAAAGTGCGCAGTAGTGTCGCATAGCAAGCTTGATTCTTCACTTCTATGAACAATCAATTCGAATGCTGTAAACTGAAGTTCGAGCTTAACACTTACTACAGAATCTCCTTTATCAGAACTGAGGGTGATCCTCTTTGTACATTAAAAAGAAAACTGTGAAAATAAAAAGGACATCGAATGTTTGCCAGCAATATTTCAGGACGCTCTTACTCATTTCTCCTAGCACCCTTGGGGTCTCAGCTCAACTGTAATGATGGGCTTGCACTCCTGCTAGAAACGACAAATTCTAATCCAGCTCTACATTTAGGCTCTGCTTACATCTACATCTTAAGCATTCATTTGTATTCCGGATTTTGTAGAATCCTGGAATAGTCCACTAGTTCTTAGTACTACCGTTGTGAAACTCACTCTCTTCTGTTCTCGGCAACTTGCAAAGACTATTATCTCACCGAAACAGAACTGACTTTATTGTCCCTATCAGTAAAAATCATAGTTCTGTTCGTCTTCGATAAGGCCGTGCAGTACCCAGCGGTTCTACAGCGTCGGTCGAAATTTTGTTGATTGATCTGGTGAAAAAAGAGGAAAGAGAATGAATGCATTGTTTCGATGGGCATGCCTATGGATCGCTGAATGTCCACGAAAGCATCATGTGTTCCTCAGTGATATTATAATGCTGTGCGACTCTTCTCTTCCTCGGTTTTAAGCGTGTATTTAGGGAAAAATATGAGTTATGGCCTCGTTTATAGATTACTTAAAGCTACTAAATTGAAAGTAAACCGCTATTACAACAAAAAGAGATAAGGCAACGTGGAAATTCTTCGGACAACTTTAGCACTTTGGTCATTCATGAGGAGTGGTATGTTAGCCAATCAGTAGACGAAATGATCTCTAAGAGCTAAAGATCTTATGAAATAACTTGCCGGACACTTATAAACGATAATATACTGTCGTTTTCAGTATGTTCTAGAAAATACACTTCATTCTCCCCTAAATGAGACTCGGATTGCTTCACTTAGGAGAATTTTCGGAAATTCCGCCAACCCCTTTGCACCACTTTTTTGGTTCAGAGCCCAATACCTTGTCTTTCCTCTCAACTCGTCTTTGATTAAATGAGGAGAGATTGGCAATAGGAAAATGAAAACATTCAGATAGGAGATGCTCAGACTGGTTAGTAAAGGCATCGTTTGACGACATCATATGCACAGAACATTCACGGAATGTAAAATTGAAGACATGCAATACGAAAACAACAAGAAAACGTTACGAAAGAAGGACTAAAGTTGAAAGTCTCTCCTGCACAAGAATGCTTCATCAAAATGTTCCTCTTTTCCCACCAACTTTCTTCTTCCCATCTTTGAAATCACTCCGATATCCTTCAGTATGAGGTTCTAAACAGTCAAAAAGGAAGAAACTAACAGCATATGACTTCTCATGGTGGACATGTGGAAGTAGAATACCCGATTTTATTTGGGTCACCATGTGATATTGATAAAAGAAGAAGGAGAAGAGGTCCTTTTTCGTAAATATAATCGTTGGCATACATCATGAGTACACACAAAGATTCTTAAGGATTAGGAAAATGGAGGAAATGACAAGAATTGATGGG